GACCAAAGTGAGCGCAAGTCATCGCAAGTCAACGCAAGTGCACGCAAGGCCTGGCCAAACGGAGTCGCAAGTAGACGCAAGTTCTCAACTTGCGTCTACCTGCGAGTCCGTTTGGCCAGGGCTTCACATTTCATCCTACCTGTCTCACACCGAAATCCAATATAGCCTGGTACACATGCGCACTGCATCCTTTTTCCTTTGACGTTACAAGCCTCGCTGCATGTTCCCCCATTGAGACAAGGCTGAGAGTGACAGCAACCGTTGTAACATGTTGTTAGCTGGCCTCCCTTCTGTTTAATTTAATGAGAAAATGTAGATCGTTGTATTGAGGCGAGCTAAATTGTCAGCTTTCTGTCTCCCATCTCATTATGTAGCCAAGAATCGGTTTACTCACACTAACTTTTCTGTTTTCGAAAGGAAACGTTTTCCAACAAGAACTTTTAATTAGTAATAAGCAATACTATTGCATGGTCTACCGGCTACTTTAGAATAAGATCATACTTTCATAACCGTCTGTAATCTAACACGATATATTTTTCTTGTCGATTTTCTCTTGAAGTGTTAGTGCATAACTCTCCCAAATTTGGAGCCACAGGATGTCCCCCCACACACCTAAGGATCCTCTCGAACTGCAAATGCATGCAACAAAGTAAATAAAATATAAGTCATTCTGTAGTCATTTTCCGTGTGCATCTGATGTTACTTCCCAAACACCTCCTAATAGGAGATTTTCGTTTTACTTACCACCACGTTGTAATCGATTACTAGATCATAGTATTGACCTCCTTCTCGAGGTTCCAAGGCACTAGGTTTCAGATATTTGTTCTCTTCGTTCAGCTCACAGTTGTCCTGGCTGCCGGTTGTTAAGTAGTTAAATGAGATGCACCGACAGTTAGCCTGGCATTTTCTAAAACACTCTACCGGCATTGAAACTGTTAATGTCTTAAAAACGTAACCAGAGAGCCTGTGATTGTCAACCATGTTTCTTCCTGTTGTGAAGTAAAATCCACCAGGGAGATAGCGGTTATCGTGGCAAGGTGGCTCCGAGTACGACACATGGAAAAGAAGAAGGAGAGTTATTTTGTACCAGTGCAAAAATGGCGGGTCCATGTCGTGATACGCTTGACTGTAGTGTGAAGTAAAAACTTCAATGAGTAAATTTCGAGTAAGACATAGGCTGAGTGTAAAAATATTAACGAAGTTCATATTAAAGCAAGGTATTACAAAGTAAACAAATAAATTTGCAATATTTAGAGAGGAAGCCATATCGGCCCTACTTAGTTTTCACGCAGGTCCTCTATCCTGGTCGAATTAGAATTTGGAGAAGTTGGTTTGTGAGAACGGAGGAAAACCGGAGAACCCGGAGAAAAACCCTCGGAGCAAGGCGAAAACCAACAACAAACTTAACCCGCATATGGCACCGGGCAGGAATCGAACCAGGGTCACATTGGTGGGAGGCGAGCGCTTTCACCACCGCGCAGTCCCTGCTACCCAACTCAGTTGGTATTTCGCCGATGGTATTGACCGAGCGAAAGAGTGCAACTACTGAAAGCTGTTGTTTTCTGCCTTAGTTTTCTCTTCACTAGCAATGAAGCGGAGTCGCAATTGGCTGCTTAGCTTGTAAGGTCTTTACCGGAGCTGTCAAGACAAAGTCCGCAGTTGTGGTCATGTGACAAGTTTCTCTTTATTTACTTATTAATGGGAATTGAAACCTTTTTTTTTTACAAAGGTTGTCTTTCAAGCACTCTAATCCGTATAAATATTCTCTAAACTCTTGGTCTTCGGCCATCGTAGCTTGATTAAAAATATAACACAAACAGCGGTTATAAACATTTTAAAAACATGCATTTTATGAACTTGATGTTTCGTATGCTAGTCAACATACATTTTCAAAAGTATGACCGTTAAAATTTTTGGAAAAGCTATTTATACTGTATAAATGGGGGTCTGGAACCAAGACAGAAAACATATCTGCAGTAGAAATTTAAGACGTTTCAAACGGAAACTGTCTGTAAAGTGATACATTGGAAAAGCTTTCCTAATAAAGTAAAAGCTTTTCACTGTTGACGTTGACATTCAATGCTGCCTCTAACTTCTGAATAAACAAGGTCTCCTTAACCTTACAATGGTAGTCAGGTTTTCCGGACGCCAAAATGTCAAAATGGTCCCATTTGCTGTTGCGACCAGTTGTTTTAACGTGATCAGCACAGTAGCAGAAGAGTGATCACCTTTCGAAAGGGCCTTCAAATGTTCCGTTTTCCGGTCGTGAAGTCTTCGTTTCGCTTTCCCAATGTAAAAATCATTGCAGTCCCAGCAACTAGCTTTATCAATGACTTTGGATAATTGTAATCGGTTGAGACAGTCCTTGTATGGGAAGAAGCATTTGACAGTTTCCGACAGAAAAAAAAAGACAGTTTCTGTTTGAAACGTCTTAAATTTCTACTGCAGATGTTTTCTGTCTAAGTTCCAGACCCCCAGTTATACAGTATAAATAGCTTTTCAAAAACTTTTAACTGTTATACTTTTGAAAATGCATGTTGACTAGCATACGGAACGTCAAGTTCATAAAATGCATGTTTTTAAAATGTTTATCACAGCTGTTTGTGTTATTATGTAATATTCTCTAAGTTTTTTAATTATTTAAAGAGAGAACGAAGAAAGCAACAAAAATAATTGAAAAAAAGCTGAGCAGTTTTCAATTATTTTTTGAAAATATATTTGAAAATATATTTGTTTCGCCATGACTTGCAGGTTTAGAAATTAAGAATAAAATATTAAACGCATTTACTCAAATACAATCGTCAGAAATATTGCTTGAAAAATAAATTAAATCTGTAAATTTAATTAAACCTCTGCTTTCGACGTGTGTGTGAATAGCGAAGAAGATCGATTATCAGTTAGTCAAGGCAATTTCTGTAGGGAGTCATTTACCTAAAGTAATAATGATGACGAGCTGGCTTGTGAGAAATTGTGAGAATTTTTTCACTTTCAACTCTCGCCATGAACCCCAGGAGGTTATTGGCTGGTTGAAACTTTTAACATGCAAGGTTTAAATTCAAAAAATGGAGAAATATCTATGGTGTGGCAAATAAAAAATGATGATGATAACTAATTTGAGCATTTCAGAGAATAGTCCACTTTTTCCGAGACAACACTGTCAGCGATAAATTGGCAAACGTTATGACGTTTTGCAAACAGTTTTATTAATTTTTAAAATTGTTTCTTTTGACTTAGTCCTCAGGTGAGACTCAAGTTTGTTTTTATAGCCAGAGATTTTCGGGTACAAAAAAAATCGCAGTGGATACGAACTGAGTTCTGCGCTCGAAATAAGATGAAAAGTCCTACTAGAAGCAGACCAATATTTAGCTACCTCTTATGATCAGCCATTAATAAAGCACTTTGATTGAGCTTGCCTCTCACGTCGAATACAATTGATAGAAAACTGCTTCTGAAAATTCGTAGGAATCCAGATTTTCCTTACCTTAATCCCGCTTTCGTGGCCTTGGGATCGCAGCACTAAGAAATTTGCTGAAAACCACTCCAGATTATTACTTGTGCTCTGATTTCATAGCTTGTAGCATTTCTTCAATTTATGAAACCAACCTGCAGGCTAAACGTAAGTCATTTAATTGTCATTCAAATTTTTTAATTAAATATGTTCCTACTGAAGCTGCTTGAATTAAGCGACGTCAAAATCACCTGTATATATTGAAGGCAAACAAACACTACTCCTGCGGTTGCAAATTATCCAAATAATGACAAATCTATTTTCAACCTCTCCACCAGAGCTTTTCCCTTGAGATTTGAAGGAGGTGGGAAGAGAAAACCTTCAAGGAGTTCGCGTTTCCATACAGGAGATTTTTAAACATAGATTTTAAAACTTAACATTTTAAAACTTATTATAGTCGATTCAAATTACTGAATTTTTGCATTTTTGCGGAGGATTCCAATAGGGGATTTAAAAGCGTTTGAATAAATCACTTCTCACGAAATATTTATGGGGATCACGTGACCTGCTGAATTGTTTTTTTTTTTTCCCGCCCACTCCACATTGCGATCCTGGGAACGAGAATGCCCTATTTAAAGTGGTGGGGAGGGGGTCTAAATCAAGTAGATCGGAAAATGAAATTGGCTTTTCACAGTTCACGGAAAATAAAATAGGCATTTTACGAACTCACCTAACTAACTTTCAAACCTTATGTCCAGGCACATAAGAACTTTACGTTTCGTATGTCAGTCACTCCCCGCATATATTTTAAAAAATGACCAATAAAAACTTTTGAAAAAACTATTTATATCGTGAACATTAGACGTCTGGAACCTAGACTGAGAAAAAATGATCTGCAGCAGTACGTTAACCTGTCTAGACATCATGAGGAGTAACATCTAATAAAGCAACATGTACAACTTCTCACTACTGACGTTGGCATTTATTGAAGGCTATAGCTCTTGAATGAACAGAATCTACTTAGTTCTGCAATGAAAGCCTAACAACAAGAGTTTATAACATCGAAGAAAGTTAGGAACTCGCAGGCTACTTTTGGAAAATCATAACTGACACAGTGAGCCATTGCCGAGAAACTGCACGCTATAGACTTCAGTTAAAGGTGCTATGTCACGACCCGCGCATGTGCGAGATTTAATTGGCTCCGTTCCCATTGAGAGTCAAATGCATCCACCATCTTGAATTTTTTGGGGGGAGTTGTGAAATTTGTGGGAATTTCGCCCTTCTTGGTTAAAATTATTACGTCTATTTGCCGCGTGTGTGGATTTCTTTTCATCTATCTGCTTGTTTTATCGTAGAGGCAAAAGTATGGATGCAAAAAAAGGCAAGAGAGACTACAGCCTGCAGTACAGTGCAGGCGTTATTTTGGCACAGAACGCTCGATGGACCAGGCTTTCGATGCTGCCGTTTTGACCGGTAAAGGGTTGGGGCACAGTGCATGGTGAGGGGCAGGGGGCAGTGCACCTCACGCCTACTTTACTCTCTCGGTACGCCTACTCCCTCGCCCCAACCCTCCACAGTGACCAAATCCAAGATGGCGGCCTAATATGAAAATGTGCACTCACACGCCAGTAATACGCCTGCACTGCAGGCTAGAGAGACTACAGTGGTGAGTTTGATTGACAGTTCTGTAAATTGATGGATTTACAGGAACAACCCATACACGTGAACACACGTTTCTTCCGGAGCGTTGTCCGCGTCATCGCAGTCATGGAAATCCTCTCCAAACCAAACTGCAAACTGCTGCCCGGCTGTCACAGGCAAAGGAGTGGTGAAATTATCAAATAACAGTTCAGGCGAGTCCGGAGAATGCCCTGGAAGGCTGTAGTATAATTGTATGTTGCAGGATAATCCTCCAAAGAGCTCAGTGTTGTTGGGAAGAAGGCGGGCTTTGTTGGAATCTGCTATGAAGGTTCCCATTTTGTCAGGCCCGCCTCGGCTTTTGCATCCCCAGTTGCTACTGGATACGCC